GACACAGACACTTAACAGTCTTTCTGTTTTCATTCTCTCAACCAGGGAAAAACCAGCTCCTTCATCGCAAGGCTTCCCAGCAAGCACCTCTCCAGCTGGGTAACCTGGGGACTTTGACACCATTGTTGTCTGTGAAAGCGTGGCGCTGGCAGGCATGTCTTGTTGGCATGTGGACAAGTAGCAGGGCACTGCCTGCTTACCGGAGGAGAAAGAATTCCTCTGTGCTGGAGGCAGCAGGGAGCACACAGGGAGAGAGAGAGAGAGCAGGCTAGCTGTAAAGCCATGATACAAGACTTGACTGCTACTGGGGTGGAGCGGTGGCTCTGTGACCAGAAGGTTGCCGGTTCAAATCCCGCGGCCGGCAGAGTAATTCTACTCCGTTGGGCCCCTGAGCAAGGCCCTTCACCCCAACTGCTCCAGGGGCGCCGTACAATGGCAGACAAGGGTGAAGGAAGGGCCCCGGGTTCAAATCCCACAGCTATGGCACCTGTGAGCAAGGCGCTGCGGTCAAAGTGCTCAGCTGAACACCCTGCTGTCTGAACGGGGCTCCGACTCATCACTGAGTGTGAGAATCCTGGAAAGTTAAAAGGATAATGAAAAAACACTCAAGAATGAACAAAGTCTTTGATTATTTAATGTCAAATAGAAAAGTTTCACCAGCACAGGTCCATGATTTTCTCGGCGTCCCCTGTGAGATGTTCAGAAGTCCAGATCCAAACAGAGGGATTAGGGACAATAGATGGGAAGACATGCCACTTCCTCTGGCGCGCAGTGTGCACGCGCCCTCCTCAGAGGTCCCCCTTGGCTACAGGACCAGAGCTCTTGGGTTCCGCCCTCTTCTGAGTCTTCTGGAGGAGCTTCAGAGTGTCTCTCTTCTCTATTCTTCTGAGCTGCTTCTTCTTCATCCTCTTCATCTTGGCGGGGTTACGGATCTGCGAGGGAGAGACGGGGACAGGGAGAGAGTCAATATAGCTCAAGACATGGAGAAGGCAAAGTTAGGCGCGTTTCTTCACAATAACATGCAAGATTTACTGGTCACCTCTTACATCAAGACATGTTATGTAAAAAAATGTGTACTCTGAAGGGAGTGTCCCACACTGACAGGCCGAAGGAACTGAGTCTCTTTAGTCTGAAGGGAGTGT